TCATATTCCTTGTAACAATTATGTTTATGATTGGGCCCTTAATTAAAAATCACAAACATTTCAAATTTATTTATTTTTAAATACAACATCTAAGTAAAAATAAAATCAACAATCCATGTTTAAAATATTCAAAACATTAAGATGGACAATTAATTACACCAACTTCTAACCCCAATGGAATTTAGAAGTTCATAGTTTGAAGCTTAAACAAATAAATATTTATTACAATAATAAAAATCTTACAAAATGGAAGATGTGTTCTTGAGCTCCAACTAAAATTGATGGTGTTGATGATGATGAAGATGGAGTAATTTTTATGTGTTTGGAAGAAGAAAGTGGTGAGATATTAGTGATGGAGGAGGAGAATTTCGGACTAGAGAGAAGGAAGAAAATGGGGGTTCCAACCTCCTTGAAGAAGAGAAGGGAGTGGATTTTATAGATAAATTCGTATATATGGAGTATATACGAACAGTTACAATTCCAGTCAATACAGCTACAGTAGCGCACATGGAAATGCAGCTGGTTGTCTTGCCGTGTCACCCGTGTTCGAAGCTTCCCACCGTTCACTGTTTTGTCATTTTTCTCTCTGGATCAATGGCCGACTTTCAGTTAAGAACATTAACCCCAATGATATGCTGAATAATCAGGTTCGGCGCGATGGTCAAAGCTCCGGTTCCACATGCCGCGCGTCTAGAGTTCGAATCCCAGGGCTGTTTTATGCTTTATTTTTGTTTGATTCCTTCATTCCTTCAAGTTTCTTCCATTTATTTTGGTCCCAAACTTCCATGTTTATTTTCCGTCCTTGCAATTATCCTAAAAGCATCCAAATGACCTCAAAAATGCCTGCAAAACATATAAAACCAAGCATAGGACTGCTCTACCAAAATAAAACGGAAAATTGGAACAAAATATAAATATTAAATTCAATTGGGACTCAAAACTCCTTCAAAATATGTCTAAAAAATGTATAAAATATGTGCATATCAGTAGTCCACTCGATCGAATATATCCGAAACCAAAATATATCCGAACCGGACTAGACCCGAAACCGAAATATATCCGACTCAAATTGTATCCGAATCAAAATCTATCCGAACCGATTCATAACCGAACCGTATCTAAACCGACTCGAAACCGAACCGAACCGAAAAATGTATAGAACCGAAATCAAATCCGAACCGAAATTTAACCGATCCGAACCGAACCGAACCGATTATAACATATAACCGAAAGATATCCGAACCGAAAAAGTTCAATCCGAAACCGATCCGGTTGATCCGATTGCCACCTCTAGTGACAATTCGCATAGATAGGTGACACCAGCGTGAGGATCAGTTGGATTTGATGGCCGAACCCAAAAAAAGATAAACAACGATCGAATAGTAGTTGCCGGCCAAAGCTAGGGTTTAAGGAAATACCTCGTTGTATTATGTAGAAATTTGGCATAAAATGTTTTTTGTTTCATTACTCACAAGATGGCATTTATTGAAAGTTATAGAATGAACAACAACAAGAACCAATCATATAAATCGTGCAAACAGATCTAATCCTATATGCTGACACAGATGCTTCTATATTACAATCACAGGAACATATAACAAACAAAGTCCTACAGCACTTTCTCAGTCATTGGCACATATGCATTAAGTAGTATAAAACTAGTAAAGAAGGCACGAGAGTTGTTTATCCAGTTCCAAGTAACTCTTCTACATCTGCGGGGCCCACGTCTGTGTAACAGCCCTTCCACTAAATCATCGTAAAAATTACACCTTCAACCACAATAAATTCTATCTAGTGTATTGACTTAATCTACTTATGAATGATTTGATGAAAAACTTTGTTTGTTTTAACTTTTACGGCTAGTTACATCAACTCTCATCACTCTGTTAGATGGACGTGCTATCGACCCTTCTCCAGCATTTCATAGATCAATAGGTGGATATCGAGTACTTCTTATGAGACTTTGGTAGTTCATGCAAAGTGCCTCATCTGAATTACATGAGATGAGCCCTGCGCCACCCTTCCTTGATTTTAACAGTATTTTTATGATGCACTCTCATTCACTCAATCTCTATATCTATCGTCGAAGCATGCAAAAATATGTATATATGGAGAGACGTGCAAACGCTAGTTGAGTCCTCATATGAATTGATAAGTTCGAAGGAGAGTCCTAGCATAACTAGATGAGTTCAGCCCAAGACATGTTTATTCACGCTGCCATAGAGTTATATTCACACAAGGTCTTCTAGCACCTTCCTTGACAAGTAGGACGCTACAACCCCAACTAAACCTAAAAGGTAACAATAAAAACAATAGACATAACAACAGGGGAACCAACAATCTCCCCCTGGCAATGCTTTTTGACAAAAACAAATATTCAAAACTCTAAGGCTCTCTGGACGTTTTGAACCTCTTCCCCCCATTTTTGTACAAAAAGTGACAAAGTTTATTCAAAAAATTCTGGGTAAGAAAAGAAAAGGAGCATTCAAAACCTTAGCGAGAGAGGTACAACAATGAGGAATACCCTAGGTGATGTGGGATTGTACCTGCACCATGTGATTGGAAGGGCATATAGCAGCAAAAAGAATATCAAGTAAGAACCAAAGGAGGCATAGAGATGTACCCTTAAGAAAAACAACAACTATCCAGATGAAATATAAAAAGAAACACACCACGATGTGTGTTGCAGCAGATTGCAAAAGTCACCAACACAAACCAGTAGCAAAAACCAGGAAAATAAAGTGGTGAAAACAGAAAGAGAGCAAAACAACCCATTTTCAGAATGTCTTAAAATGCAATGGATTGGTAAAACAACGATAGCTGGTAAGTCTGATAGGTCATCTTCATCATCTTCCTCCCTCAATGAGCTCTCCCCTGGGATGATGCATCTCCTGCTGGAGAATCACTTGTGGCAAGTTTTAGCAACCAGATGAGATTTTTGCGTTCCTCCTCAAGAGCAGTCTTATTTTTATCAAGCAGTTTGAGCTCCTCTTTATTTGCTTACAGCTGGGATTCTAAGTACCAGAGCACCGCTGACACACATTGAGCAGACTGCATTGGGACTGACTCCATGTCATTGAGATGCTTGCCTTCAAAGTGCTGGTTGTCAATTTGGAGCAGGGGTTCCTCTTTCTCAGCATCTCAGTTGACAAAACTCCAGGAAACAAGAATCTAAAATCTTAGAATAGAAAAGGACATACCATTATCATTTTGTTTGAAATATTGTTTCCCAAATTCAGTAATCTAAGATACGATCGGCTTTCTCATATTCATAGGGACATCATTCTTGATTTTGTACAACAGTATTCCTACGGCTTTGGTGATAGTGTTGGTGCATGTGGTGGTCATCCAGTGACAGGCAACACCTCTCAGCAGTATGGAATACGAGCTCTTGAGAATGGATGAGCTAGGGAACTCTCTTTGTTGGGTGTTGGCTATTTCTAGCTCCATTGGTGAGCTCCGTCCACATTGTAGCATCAGCGATTAGCCCATCTTGAACATCCTCTAACCCTAGGAAGTCATTCACAATAGCATGGGAGAAGTCATAGTATTTTCCACGCACAAATACCTTTTCATAAAACCTATCAGAAGGACACACAAAACTACCACACAAATTGCAGTAAAATTCATCTATAATTTGCTTGACATATGACCCAGGTAAAGTAACAGAGTTCAAAAACTTTCTAGTTTCCAATAGGGGAATCAAACTATTTAAAGGCAAAATCATCCACATCTATGTTTTATTGGGGAAGAATGTGCTTTTTCTCAATAAGAGACATGAATGCTTTTGTAATAGAAGAAACAAACACAGATTTGGAGAACTTCCCTGGAATGAGATTCAAATCTTTCTTCTTTCTAGAGGATGAAATCTTTACTGGTGGATCCTTGGCATTGTTCGTGAGTTTCTTGGATGGAGAGAATCTTCAGTGAAATCTGTCTCAGATTTTGTCTTCCTCTTCAACCATCTGACTGGTTGGTGACAGTTAGCTTGAACTTCTTTTTCTTACCCTGGTAAGATTCGTTTGGTTAGTTGATTTGAGGAAGGGAATCTCAGAGACAACCGCCAGAGGTTCTTTATTTAGGCCGTGTTTGGAAAACAGCATTTGGGATAGCTTTTAGCATCTTTGACTGACTTTGGCTTTTTTGACCAAGCGAACCGCCAAAACCATTGTTTGGCTAATGGCTTTTTCACTTGGCATTTTGATCCGAAAAGCAAAAATCTGAAATGCCAACGTGAGTAGCATTTGGACATGGCGGTTAGGAAAAATATTTTTTTAAAAATCATTTTTGTCGAAAGATATTTTATAATATATGTAAAAAATAAAAATAAAAGTTAAAAAAATTAAATACGAAAAAATAAAATGAAATTAAAAAAAATTATATTTATAATTCATTAAAAAATTTATATTTATAATTTATTATGAATTAAATGAAATTAAAATTTAATATTCCATATAGTAAAGATTTAATTTTTACATGTAAAAAAATGAAAAACAAATATCATGTCTACACACACACACAGATATATATTATTTAATTTTTTTAATTTAAAAAAAATATTTATGATATGATATTTAAAAAAATTGTAAAATAAAATATACCATAAATGGAGGGATGTCCTTTTATGTAATTTTATTTACAAACAGCTAACTATAAACAGCTAAAGTTGCCAAACACTTAAAATTTAACTGCTAACAGAAACAGCCGGTCAAAACAGCTAACTCAATCAGCAAAAGCCAACTGCCAACTGCTAGTATCCAAACAAGGCCTTAGTATCTTCAAGAATTCTTCATCGTTGTCCTTTTCTGTTTGTGTCATTTCACCTGTACCCTGCTCTGGCTCTATGTTGAATTTGTCACATGGCTATTCATCAGCCACTGAGAATGAGAAGGGCTCAAGGTACCTTTTGCCTCTTCTTTTAAAGCTTCTTGAGCGTTTGGCGACTTAGAGGGTGAGTGCAGTGGCTTTTACTCTAAATAAAGAACTTATGGGAGAGTTGAGGGAAGTTGTATGACATCAGGATGATCTTATTGAGAACTTTCAGGAACGCGAGAGGATATAGTGGCTTCATTTTCTGGTTTTGAAGCTTGAGGTATCAGATCTGCTATATCTTCTAGGATTGAGGCTTGTAACTTAGCCCTAGATTGGGTGAAGCGCTTGATCAGTGATGTCTTGTGCTTGGATGCATGAATGCTCTACCATTGCTAAGGGATAGCAATCTTGGTGCATACCATGATTGTTGATCTTTTTGTGAGAAAGAAATTTCAGACTTAGGGTTTCTTGTAGAGAGGTTGATGACGGTGGTACATACAATGAAGAGGGATAACCTTCTTGAGATTTGAATGTTGGAATGATTTTTGGCCTCTTCGAATCTTGTGATGCAGCGCCGAGTATAGGTAGGCCTGCTACACGCGTGATTTGTCCTTTATTTTGTGCCATGTGTCCGCTACAGCAGTGTATGGTAATGGAACACCTTTTAGTTGGTATGTTTTTGTAGGTGTTCATTTCATATTGTGTCATTATTTTAAAGGAGCACACAGACCCAATTTGGATCTTCGAGTCTCAAAATGTTTCCATCTAGAGCTTTTGTGAAAAGATCAGCAAGTTCCTCTGTAGACACATGCTCTAAGCTAACAGTCTTATATTCAACCAGTTCACGTATGAAGTGATATTTAATATCAATATGTTTTGTACGTGAGTGTAATACTGGATTTCTAGATATACTCATGGCACTTGTGTTGTCGAAAAATAAAGGATGGTGTCATGTTTAATCCCATATTCAGCAAGTATGGACTTCATCTACAATAATTGAGCACAACAACTTTTGGCCGATATGTAATTAGCTTCTCCATGCTCATCTAAAACTCTTTCTCCATCACTTTTACGAACTTGCCAACCCGTGTTTTTGAGTTGGACCCAAAAACAATATCATTCATCAACATAGATTTGAGCTACTAGAATGTCAGAATCCTATCTAATACAAAACATGGTGTTAGCTTCTCCCCTCGCTTGTATCTTTCCCTTGCTAGGTAGGATGTAAGCCTTCTGTACCATGCTCTTGGGGCTTTCTTTATCCCGTATAGTGCCTTGTGGAGTTTATATACATAGTCCGGGTTTTTGGAATCCTCAAAGTCTTTTGGTTGAGCCACATATACCTCTTCCTTTAGGTATCCATTCAGGAATGTCGTTTTTACATCCATTTGATAGAGCTTCATGTCCAGCACACATGCCATACTTAGAAACATGCATATAGACTCAAGTCGTGCATTTGGGGAAAAGGTCTCTTTGAAATCAACTCCTTCCATCTGTGTGTAGCCTTGTGCAACAATTCGTGCCTTCTTCTTGATAACATTTCCTTCTTCATCACTCTTATTTTGATAGATCCATTTAGTTCCAATTATATTTTTGTTGTTATATTTTGGAACCAATTCAAATACTTTATTCCTCTCGAACTGCTCCAGTTCTTCATGCATGGTGTACTATCCATGCTTCATCTGTCAATGCTTCTTTAATATTGTTGGGTTCAACAGATGATGCATAATACACCTTTGTCATCTCCAAGAAGTCAATCTTCTTCTTTTAAGTTTGTATGCCTTCTGTAGGTGGCCCGATAATTTTTTCTGGTGGATGACTCTTCTGGATATGTGTAAGAGCATTGTTGGGAGTAGGAATGTTTTTCTGTTTGTCCTTGGCTTCTTCATTTTATGATTTTTCAAACTCGACCTATTTTGTAGGTGCCGTATCTGATGACTGTATATCTGACAAATCATCTTCTGCTTTTTTGTGAATTTGATCATCTACCACAACATTGGTTGACTCCATGATAGTTTTAGTCCTTTTGTTGTATACCTCATGCTCTTTTTTGTGTGGTGAATATCCAACAAAGATGGCTTCGTCACTTTTCGGTTCAAACTTTTCTTTCTGCTCCCGATTTCTAAGGATATAACATTTAGTCCCAAAAATGTGAAAGTGAGCTATGTTTGGTGTTCTCCCCTTCCATAACTCATATGGTGTGGCATGTGTCCCACTTCTAAGATATGCATAGTTTATCGTGTAGCGTGCTGTATGACTACCTTAGCCCACAAATTTTGTGGTAGACCGTTTGTGTTATTTCTTGCACATGACGATTTTTTCTTTCAGCCACATCGTTTTGCTGTGGAGTCTTAGGTGCTGAGAACTTGTTCCAAATTCCATGTAGATCACAAAATTTTTCAAATGGTCCATTTTCATATTCACCTCCATGGTCACTTTATACCCAAACAACTTCTGTTATTTTCAGCTGTTCTTCATTTTGAATCTTGTGGCATACTGCTGCAATGGCATCAAGCGCGTCATCTTTGTGTCTTAGGAAGCTAACCCATGTGTATCTGGTGTATTCATCCACAAACATGAGGATAAACCTTTTTCCTCATATGCTCTCAGTCTGCATGGGCCCAAACAAATCTATATGCATGAGTTCCGGGGCCTGGTTAGCTAATCTCATAAGTTTCTTTAGATGACTTTTTCAAACCCGCTTTCCTATTTGGTAGGGTTTGCACACTTGATCACTGTTTGAGTGATTTTTGGCAATCCTCGAACAGCTCCTGAGTTTGATAAGACCCTTAAATCCTTATAGTTCATGTGGCCGAGTCTGTAGTGCCACAGCTTGGCATCTCTCTCACTCGCGGAGTAACAATAGATGTTAGGTGTCACTCTCTATAAGTTATTAGTGGTTCTGTCACCTTCCAAAACAATGAGCTTATTTATGTCCTTGATGCAACATTTTTGTTGTGTAAACACAATTTCAAGCCCTTGATCAAAAGTTTGATTGATGCTCAATAAGTTTACTTAGAGTCCCTGAACTAACCACACATTTTTTATCGGTGGTAATCCAGAGATGTGTAGGGTCCCATTTCCGAAAATCTGACCATGAGCACCTCCTTCAGACATTTCATCCTTCGATGGACTGAATTTCATCAAATTCTACTTGTCTCCGTGTGAGCATCCGTTATCCAAAAGCCACTAGTTTGGTGTGACACGGAGACAGGAGTTTGCACTAGGCTCTGTATTTGGGAACCCATCTCATCACAGTCCTGACATGTCTCTTGGCCGTAGTCATCTTTCTCTCTTTGTCTCTTAGTTTGTAAAGCTTTCTTTTGATATGTCCCCACTTCCTGCAGTAGAAACACATATAGTATAAGGATTAGAGTGATAGTGTTTCCTTACATAGTAGTGTTGATGTTGGGGAGTCTTCTCCTTTGATTTGTTGGATCCTTCTTAAGAGTGTTCCTTCCTGACAAGTTCATCTTCAAAATCTTTTGGTCGTTTTGAAAAGAGGTCCAATGTTGTCTTGCTGCTTCCCAACACTGTGTGTCCAAGACTAGTCCTGTCCCCATGGAACATTGACACATTTACTTGTTCCACTAGTAGTTCAGTGCCTGCACTTTTCATCTATTTTTGATAGTTTTTAAGTCGTGTTAGCTCGTATTAGAGATCAGATTTTTCCCCTTCAACCCATTCTAGTCTCATCATGATTTCACTGAGTTTTTTTAGGGCATGTACTTCTATTGATAGGTGGTCTTTCTCCAGGATGTTTCTTTTGTTGACTAATAGCAATTCTGTCCATTTTTCTTGCAGCACCATGAATTTGTCACCGTGATCTTCAATATCCTCATTGATGCGTTGAGTGGTGAAAGCACAATTACTGTTTCCCATAGCTTCCTCAAAATCACCCTCATCATCGCTCCATGTAGACATGAATGCTTGCATCTTTTTCTTGAGTTTATTGGAACATTCTGATTGAATATGTCCAAAACCTCCACATTCAAAGAATTGTGGTCCTTTTTTCTTGGGTTCATCAAAGAGAGGCTTCACCTCTTTTTTCGTATGCTTCTGAATTGGGAACCTTTTGATGGTTCTACCTAAGCACTATTTATTCCTCTCTTCTGCATCCATTGCCTCTTGAGTTGCTTGGTAATGAGTGATAACTGTTTTTGAAAGTTCGCATCTAGTGCTGCATCATCGTCGTCGTCGTCTTCATGAGCAAGTGTTGAGGACTTGTCGTAAGGTCCAAAACAAATTAAAAATTTATAAAATATCCTTAACTAACCCCCAATATATAATCAAATAAAAACTATAGCTAGGGCAAGTAAGGGTCGATCCCACGGAGAAAGTTTGTATTTCTTTAAAACCATTTTAGCATGTGAATACATTGTCACGAAAATAAATATAAAAATAAAACTAACTACTACACATATGATAACACTTATAAAACTTATAATAAAAACTTATAATTATAACTTATATAAACAAAGAACTTATAATATAACTGAAACACAACACAAAGGGGGGGTTTGAATAAAAAGTAAATATTTTTTGGTTTTTTATATTTTCTTATTTTTTTGGTTTTTTGATTAAATGGGGGAAACAATCTCAAAAGATAATCAACTTCTCCAACAAAGGTAACCCAAGAAACACCGCCAAGAACCCGAAACAAAATTAAAAAGAGAACGAACACAAATAGAACATTACACATATAATAGGCATGTAGACAATATATTACGTAACTTACGCACTTAAGAATATAAAATAATTCAAAGGCTCGAGTTAATTCATATCCTTGACCACATATAGAGGATCGTCAACTCTCTATAAGGCCTGGAGTCAAAGATTCAAAGGCATTTTGGTTACTTTGAACCCCCACTCACCTCAAGCGCTCAAGCAATGATTCCAAAAGATGAAAAAGTTTATAAAAGAGCGAATCTTTCTTTCATTCTAACTCCCATGCACAAAGTATTCATGAAGAACATTTGATACACTTTAATAAACTTTAACGTCTAAAGATGAAAATATTTTGCAGGTCTCCTTGAACTACTCAAGCATAAGAATTGTAATCTATTCACATAAAAAAACATTACATATTTTCATTAAATCAAGAGTTGTTTATTGCGCTTAGACAATCCCAATTTTTATGAAAATAACAAACAAGAACACCAAGACATAAACAATCACTCTATAACGAATCTTAAGGAAAATGTTCAACTTATGTGGCTAAGAAATTAATTTTACCTTAAAATTTTACAAAACACAAGTCACAAAAAAGGATTCACGTATGAATTCGAAAATCACTTAACTAAAATATGTAGCTAAATTAGCTTCAATGATAACTGAATTCGACATACCAACCTACTTATGAAATCAAATTTATAATTCAGCCGATTTAACATCAATTTGCGCAAAAATTGAAGAAACTAGTAAGAATCAATTTTCATTCATAAGGGATTTAATATAAACATTCAAAAAAGAACATACAAGAAAAAATGAACAAAAACATTTTTTTTAATTTTCAATTTGTTTAACAGGAACAAGCTTACATAAAGAAATACTTTAACAAAGAAATCTACAAGAGGAAAAAAAACAAGGATGACTTCCGGAAGCCATTTTATTTGGTTACCTAAAAGAAGAAGATGAAGAATTTTGAAAATTGGAGCTGTTGTGGTTCGTCTCCCCCCTGCTCTTGTTGCAATTCGCCCTCAATTTATAGGAAATTAGGAGCAAAGGACCTTCAAATTTTTACCGTTGGAGCGCTTGAACGAGATTTATGGAGAGACGTTGGAGAAGATGTGTGTTACTTCAATCTGGCATTGGCTTCTTGCGAAGAAGTCTCCGTTTCTTTTCCTTTGCCGTGCGTGAGAGTGCGTGAGACGAGGAGGAAGAGGTGCTGGGCTGGTCTCTTTTAGTATTGGGTTTGGGCTGCGACCCAAACTCATTCACTTCTTTTCAAACTTGAACTGCATTTGGGGTCTTCTACTGCACTTTTCTCCAAAAAAATAAGATATCTGATAACTTGAGTTAGAAAAAAATAAATTGTAAAAAGAAGTAATTAAAAAGTACTATTTATAAAAGAAAAATAAAAGATTGTAAAAATGAGAATTAAAATAAAACTAAGCTAAACTACTAAAAATTAAACTCCAAAAATATTTAAAAATGCCTAAAATTGGATAAAAAGTACTAACTCAAACCCGAGTTATCAGCAAGGCTATGAAAAGCAATTTGTTTGTCGTTCTTCCTATGTTTGAGTTCTTCATTCATCTAGAGTTCAATAGTTTCTATGTTTCTTGAGAGTTGATCCAGTGCCATGTTTTTTATATCATGTGCCTGACGAATTACTTTTATAACAGCATAATCATATTTAAAAACTTTTATATCTTGATTCATTGTTGGAAATGTTTAAGTCAAAGAACGGATAGATTGGTAAGACTAAAGAAAATTACATGTGAATATTTGTTATTACTTTGAATTAATACTAATTAGAGAGACTTTCCCATTTTTGAAAAAAGAGAAATAAATATATAAAAAGAAAGAGATTTTTATTGGCATGTTTATTTAATAGAAAATTAATTTTATTCCGTATATATTAAAAGAACTCTAAGTCAAATAACAAGTATGTTCTATTTTAAAATTAGTATTTTCCATTTTAAATTATTATTTTCCATTACTTACTTTGTAAAAATTTATAAACCATGTCACAAAATTACTATTTTCCATTATTAGCCATATACAATACATAATTAATACAGTAATAGTTTTGAGCATACATGTATTTTCCCTATTCCAGTTCTATATATAGTGTATGGACTCCTTGACATAATTGTGATTGGATTACAAAAGCCAATATGGTATCGGAGCAAGGGTAACGTCTCCCACTCTCATTCAGTCTTTTATCGCCAGCCTTCATCAGGAGTTTCATATGAAGGATCTTGGTCCTCTAAAGTACTTCTTGGGTTTAGAGGTTGAGAACAAGACTTTCACACTCTTAAGCATATTTTGAGGTATGTTAAGGGATCGAGCACCACAAGTATTGTTTTTCGCAGGGGGGATCTTTGTCTGCGTGGTTAATCTAACTCAGATTGGGCGACTGATCCTATAGACAGTCGCTCTACAACGGGCTATCTCATCTATCTTGGGAATAATCTAGTTTCTTGGAGTACAGAAAAGCAAACACGTGTCTCCAAATCATCTACTGAGGCCGAGTATAGAGCTTTATCTGCAGCTGCATCCCAGTTTGAGCATACATGTATTTTCCCTATTCCAGTTCTATATAGAGTGTATGGACTCCTTGACATGATTGGGATTGGATTACAAAAGCCAATATCCATTATTAATTTTGTAAAATGATGAAGAATTAGTTCGTGGGTTTTTATGTGTAAGAAATTAATTATTAATTGGTGTTTCTCATTAAAATATTTATGGTATAATAATAATTATTATAAGTGTAATTACTATTAAATAAAATTTTTAAAAATAGAAAATATGCTTATTTTTACATCTATATCAAAACAATATAAATAAGTAATATTATTACGGGGCTAGCACCTGGCGGTATCGGAACTGGGAGTTCGGGAAGCGGAATCGTATTGTGTCCAGGGCTAGTTCTGATCCTCCACTTCATGCCTCTGTAGAATTTCGACAAAATTCATATTCATGTACAAAAATATGTGATTTTTTTGAAATTTTTTTTGTTATATATATCCCATACGAATCTTTTGTTGTGTTTTATAAAAAAAATAGTTATTGTAGTTTCAATAAAGTCAAGAGTAAAAATATATGATTATTTTTTTTAATTTTCTTGGAATTTTTCTTTGTGAAAGACACATGCAACTATATTTGTTTTTTCTTTTTAAAAATAAGTTCATATCAAGTTTGTTAGACTTTGGGTGTTAACTACATGTGATTATTTTTATGTGATAATTTTTTAAAATGTTTATGTGAAAAAATCTAACTGCGATTCTTTTTTTACTTTTCTAAAAATAAATTAATTTTACAAATCTAGTAGAGCTCAGCTGTAAAATAAATGTGACTATTTTTTTTAGAAAAATATATTTTTGTGAAATATATCAAAAGTTACAAAAAACAATAGTATCAATTTTCTTTTTAATGGATCACCATGCCCTAAACTTATCAAATAAGTGCCACTACATTATCAATTGAACAACAATCACAGTCCAAGGTTGATTATCGCGATTTCACTGATCGATTTCTCTGTTGTAGAAAGCAAGAGAAGACATGTGATTATTCGGTTCTATAGAAGCGTAGAAGAAAAGGATGAAGAATTTTGTATATAGTTCATAAATTAATTAAAACCGGATCTTTCCTTCTTTTGATTTAAAATTGTCAAGTTATTAAATTAGTCATGTGAAATTTGCACTGAATATCACTAAAACATAAGTCATTTCTCAATGTAGGACTTGAAATTTTTAATTTCCTAAGTAGGATTTAATAATGACTAGTGAGAAAAATAATGTCCAAGTGATGCTGGATATTTAGTTGAATAATGACTAATACATAATGACCAATGATCCTACATTGGGAAATAAAAACATATAGTCCTATTTTGAGAAAGTCATTATGTTTTAGTCATATTTAGGTAAATTAACCCATTAATAAACCATTAATAAATGGTGGACGATTTGTAAAACAATTACTGTATAAACCTGCCACATGTCAAAATAATCAACCACTCCTTAGCTTGCCTGCCATTGATGGACAGTCCTAAATTCATTCGCGGAGACAAATCGCCAAACTCTCACCCTTATCTCAAAAGAACCAAACATATACTATTCGGTTGAATAACAAATGGAATATATAAATATTATCAACGCTATGGCCATGCAACTTTAGCCCCCACCCTTCAGTACTCAAATGGAATATAACATACTCGCTATCTTTCATTTCTTTTTTTTCCCTATGAGGAAATAAAATTACCACTTTTTCTTTTTGAAAATCCTAAAACAAAAAACCTCTGTTACTTATTAATTATTTTAATAATGAACATTTAACTCACAAGATTTATTTCTCATGTAAACAAAATCTAAAAGTAGAGAAGTTCTCCCCTGACTTGAGTGGTAGCAAGCTTATTTTCATGATTTATAGGAAAGTTCACCCAGGTTCGAGTCTTTACAGAGGCGGAAGCATTGACTCTTTATGCATCATTAAGTTGAAAGTAGTGGTATGAACAGAACTCTAAAAATAAATTTTCCACTTTTCAACATCGATTTTTTAACACTGTTTGGTTCAAGGAATTTGAAAAGGAAAAGAAAAGAAAATAGATTTTCCTCATTTTCCTCACTAAAATAGAAGAAATTTGGTTTTCACTCCTCCTTGTATATTTTTCCTTCTTATTTTCTTTTCCATCCACTTTTCTTTTCTTTTCCTCCTTAACCAAGCAAGAAAAAATATTTTCCTTATCATTTTCTTTTCTTTTCCTTTTCAAATTCCTTGATCCAAACATAGTGTAAATATAATGAAATTAGATTGCATAAATTCCATACTTCGGGTTAGATGGAATATTTTATACTAGACTAGAAATTGGTTGACTTTCTCATACGGAGTAAAAAAAAAAGTAAATTACATAATTGGTACTTTATAACATATGGGTTTTCATACTTAGTCTTCTATTATCAAATATTACCCTCGTAATCCTTTTTTTGATGGTGCCTTTCCACAAATGGTCATTTTTTGATCTTCCGCCATGTGGGTGTTAATTTAAAGGCTAAAAGTATAATTTGACATCAACATTACGTCTAGTGACGTGTTCTGATACTGGTTAAGCGGATAACACAAAAATAATGACAATGATTGTGAGCTAGACCACATTTGTAGACTATTGTTGTAGTAGAAAACGAATGTAATTCACACACGACGCAAACATAACAACCTTTGGAATTGTATATGACAAAAAAGATATATTATCATTGTAAAATTATGCTTTTAGCCCTCAAATTAACACCAACATGATAGAAGATCAAAAAGGACTATTTGTGGAAAGATAACCATAAAAGAAGAACTATTAGGGTAATATAAAGGACTAATTATGGAATTTACTCTAAAAAAATAACTAGTCCGTCTTTTGAAAAAGGAAAAATTATTCAAAATAATTCTAACTTTACCTGGTCTTTCAAAAAATGTTCTCACTTTTCATTGTGCTGCATAATAATCCCAACTTAAGCAAAATTTGCGACGTTTGGGTCGTCGTTAAGTTACTAATGGTGGGTTAACGAAAATGGTCTATTTTGCGCAACAAAATGAAAGCTGAGGTTATTTTTTATGAATTTCAAATTAAATTGTTTTTGAAAATTTCATTTAAATTTTTAAAATTACTTTCTACCTCCATCATTTCTTTTTGTTTTTTAAAGATTTTAAAGATTAGTCGTCTTATTTTAAAAAATAAAAATAATAGATATAAAAAATAACGAAAATGAGAAAAGGAACAAAAACGATACAAAATTATTAAAATAAATAAGATGATCCATAAAAACTAACTAAAAATTGGTATGAAAAAAATAAAAATGTATGAAGTGATGAATTTTAATATGTTACGCACTATGCAAAGTATTAACGTACCACTTCTTATGTTTTAGAAATAATTATATGGAATAATTTCAACTTTACTGAATTGCATGTTCTTTTAAAAAAATAAGTAGTACATCGTATATATTTATTTTATTTGTTACCAGTTTCAGTTTAATTTCTAACATTATTTATTCCATTAATTTTGTATGATTTTAGTTATTTTTCTCATTTTAATTTCATTACTTTTTGTATCTATTTTTTATTTTTCTCTTTGATAAGAATAATCTTTAAAAAAGAGAAAACGAAATGGAGGTACAAAGTAATTTTTAAAATTTAAATGAAAATTTAAAAAAATTTAAAACTAAAATTTATCAAAAACAATCCCAACTTTCATTTTTTTTACGTAAAACAAGCATTTCCGTTAACCCGCCGTTACAAATTTAATGGCTCCCAAAATTTGTAAATTTCAATAAAGTTGGAATTATTTTTGAAAGACCATGTAAAGTTGAGATTATTTTGGATAATTTTTCCTTCAAAAAAAGTCATTGATTCCTGCCTGCCTTGATACATTCAACATATATGGAGTACACAAATGCTAAAAATACACCAAATTTGAAACTAACATTATGTTTGATTCAAGGAATCTGAAAGAGAAACAAAACAGAAAATGAAGTGGAAAATAATTGGGAGAAAGACCAAAGTATAACTAAAACATTGAAAATATACCAAAATGAGACTTCCATGTTTTTATTCTCGAAATAGGACTTTAAATGCATTTACATTACCAAACATGATAATGTAAATTACCAAAAAGTATTGTAATGTGCACATGTACAGTGTCACATTACCATAGTGTGAAGTCTTATTTCGAGGGAAAAACATAAAAGTGCTATTTTAGTACTTTTCTCTATTTTTAGTTCTATTTATGATGATTTCTAAAAATAATTTGTCTTGTTTGGTTAGAAAGAAAAAGAAATGAAAAGTGGAAGGAAAAGAAAATGAGAAGGCAAAACGTAAAGAGGAGAGAAAATTAAATTCCTCTCATTTTAGTGAAGAAAACGAGAGAAAATTATTTTCTTTTCACTTCTTTCCAAATTCCTTGAACCAAACATAGTGTAAATATTTCAAGCATGATTCTAGAGAACATTATTATTGCAAGAGATGATGTAGGTTCCATTCTAAGATCAGAGGGCAACTTGTCTTAACGATATGATTTTATATATTTATATTCATAAGCTAAAATGCACACTCAAAATATGTTTGAAACCTTCTTATAATCATTTTCAAACATCCAAAAGGTCTGAAACAAAATCGGAAAATATTTGACCAAAAATGAAAAAACCTAGACAGTGGTACGGGACCCTCCTAGTGTCTGCCCGAAACCTAGGTACCGTCTGCCCGGGACCCCTCCCCCTACCGGAAGGGGTACCGTTAGGACAGCTACCGTCAAAAAATTTTTACCTGAGAAGGTACTTAGCTACCGTTAGTCCGGGATCCAGGTACCATTAGTCCGGGACCCCCTACCGTTGAGGCGGCACCTAGATACCGTTTCAACAGTAAGATTTTTCAAAATTATTGATTTCCTTTTAAACCACTTTTATATACCTTTAGAACTCCAAGTAAGCTCCAAACAGGCATAAATAGTCATATTTGATATTCAACTATAAATAGGGACATAATCCTTCATTCTAAACATCAACCCAATCTCTCTAATTCTATATTTTATTTTTCAAGTGCGCAGAAAAGACTTATGTTGATTTGTGAGGTCAGTCTACAATCCTATGAGCGGATGTTTACGACGAGGGTGTGGGACCGGGGTGTTATAGTTAAAGTTCACAATTGAGTTTTTTATATCGTTAGGGAATTGAATACCAATATATTCAATTTCTTAAATTTTAGGGTCATGCTAGGTGTACATCATAATCATGTATCTCATTTTGTACACTAGACAAATACAGACATCAATTCCATATTCTCTTCACTTGATTTGAAAGGCTCTAATCTAGATGGAATAAGTTCTGATCTAATTTGATGTGGTTTGATTTGATCTGGTTTGATCTGATCTGAGTATAATTGTATTTAAAGCTATTTTTGATTTGATCTGAACTGATTTTAATAATAAAAAGTAGTAAGTAAGAGGAATATAAGTGTACATCTTGTTCAAAAAAAAGTAGTAAGTAATAAGAATAAATTGAAGAGCATAGGTCATTAGGAAAATATCAAAATATAAGTCATAAGTCTTTTAAGACCAAAATAGAAGTTCACATTGCCATGGTTACACTGCCACACTCACCAATTGTCACATTATAATTGGCATACTGCCATTTGTCACCGCCGCCGACGGTTGACTGATCAAAATCACATATTACGTTGTCATCACTTTTTCATCACACTGCCAATGCATACTCTTACATTATGCTGTCATTATACTCCTATTTTGGTCTTAAAAGACTTAAGATTCCTATTTTAGTATTTTCATACTTTTTACTCTTATACAAATAGATTTCATTATAACTTTTTCTGATTAGAATCTGTTCAGGGTAGACCAGATCAGAAATTACTTTAAATATAACTACATTCAGATCAGACCAGAATATTTTTTTGATACAATTCATTTGAGATTGAGGTTGAATTAAAAAATAAAATTTACACTTTTAAAAAGTGCATCAAAAGTTATATGAAACAAGAAGTGACAGAGTATATTATTTTATCAAACGAGTAGTAAAAATAAGAAAAGAAAGTGAATAAATTTTGACACTGTGAATAGTAAACATGTAACTTAATTTGGATTAAGGAAGTAATGATAATGTAAATTACTATAAAGCTTATTTTATTAGATATATCTTATTGAAAAATTCTAAAATTTTAATTTCTTGTATTGATATGGAATAAAAAATTGAAAGTAGTTGATGATTAAAGTTTGTTTACTCTTGGATGATAGGATTATTTAAGATGAATGCACTCATAGTTTTAAAAACTGGACCGGTGATCGAATCGGTCCAAGTATTGATTCACTGGTTCACTAGTCGAACCACTGATTTAAACATTATATATATAGACACACACACACACATACATACATACATACATACATATATATATATATATATATATATAATTATTTTGTATAAAATAAAAATAACTACTTTCATATGTATATAAAATTTTATGATATTTGATTGAAATTATAATCACTTTAATTTATTTTTTAGTCAATTTATATTTAAAATAAAATTTACATATCGAGAAGTAATTTGAAGGTTTTATAAAATAATGATATTTTTATTTTTCTTTATATATTTTGTCTAATATCCAAAAATATTAAAATGATTTTATTGCGACACATACTCTGTATTAGAATTATTTTTATTTTTAAATGTTAAGACTCCTAATTTAAGAAATAAAAAAATCTTTTAATGCATATTTACTCTTTTAATTACGGAATATATACTACTCCGTACTTGGAACCAATATGTTTCAAAAATTATTTTTTGCTCAATTGGTTGATAGCTTGGTATAATAACTAAGAGGTTAAGGGTAATCTTAGTGAAGTTAGCGCAGGAATAATGTTTTGGCCAAATTTTACAAAAATAAAAATAAAAATAAAACTGATTCGACCGGGTGAACTGGTCAATTCTTACCGGTTCAAACTGATTCAATGCACAATGTGATCGAAAGGGCTAGACCAGACCAGTTCGACCAGTTCGACCTCTGATTCGCCGGTTTCTCGGTCCGAACCGACCGGTCTGATCCGGCTTTCAAAACTATGAATACACTACTCTAGTGTATGATTCTAATAAACTTGTTTTGATTATCTAAATGAATTAAGTTATTTGTACTCCAAAAATTGCACTTCAGATTATATGCGAGAAGTGTGCACTTTTATTTTGTATCACTTTGATACCAGTGCGATGATTTACACAGGTGCATAATGTTAACGCAAATTTTTTTATAACACTAACATTTTATGTCAATATAAAATTATTAAAATATTTATGTATAGATTTGGTGTAAATTTTGAGATTGTATCGAATTGCTCAAACTCGTGTTAAAAATTTAAAATTAGGTGACGACCGAATAAATGGAACAAAAATGTGCCCGGTGACAATACAAAAATAAATTGCCAGGCTGCCAGCGATCCAATAATTGCATCGCAAAACCTAAGGTTGCCGTCGATTGATCGATACCGGAGGAGAGATGAGCGACGGAGGAAAGAGCAGAGGTGCTGTGGCCCCTGGCACCGCCCAAGAGCCGGCGCCGCCGCATCCTAATTATTACTACGGGACGTTTCAAGGAGTGGCCAATTATCAAGCTCCTCCGCCTCCGCACTCTCCGCCAGTCATCGGTTTTCCTCAGCCTATTCCTCCTGCAGGTGTATCTGGCGCTCCTCCTCATTATTATCCGCATGGTTATCAAGCTGTTCAAGGTATTCCCATCGCATCTCATAAGATGATTGTTTATTATTCAGTATGTCTCCTGTCTCATATGATTGATACAATCAAATGCTTTTCTGTGCTTGTGAATTATAACAATTGATGTTCTGAGCATTAATAAACCCTACCTGAAGGCTTGGCACATGGATAAAAAAAAATTTGAGCTTTAATCTGTTACTCCCTTTGTCTCATTTTTATCGGCATACTTTGAATAGCCACATGAATCATTGATTTAGAAAGTACGAATTGCCTCGTGAGATTAATGAAGATGAGACAGAAACATGAAGAACTGCGTAATGATTTCTATAAATCAAATTGACATGATAAATTGGTACAGAACAAAGAGGAAAGCATGATTTGGGACAGCGAGTATTAGGCTTTCCTAGTAACATCTTTTCATCTTTGGAGTGAAACTTAAACTGTGAGATAAGAATCAACATAAGCAAAGGGCACTTAATGCCTAAATGGGTCTATGCGTCATAAAGTAATGGGACATTCTCTGTTTTTGCTTGTATCAACTTAGGCTATGCTGTTGCTGAAGGTAGACCATTAAGGGAGCACCGGCTACGATGTTGCGGTCTTGGGCTGGGATGGTCATTGTAAGTTATCATAATTGTTTAGCGTTCAAGATTACTTTTGTCTGTCCGAGCATATACACTTGCTTATTACAGATGAGCTTGCACTTATGCACACGAATTTCTGTATCATAATCAATTGCAAACCTTTATGTTGTGCTTACCGACATTCAATGCCTATGAGCTAAATATGAGTGAATTGTTGATTAAATAAAATATGAATATCGAGGAAGATAGCTGTAGATTATAATTCTGCACTTATGTCCCAATGTTGTGTTGTGTTGTCGGAACTGATTTGATTGAGCTGCATAATGTAATTTATTCTTATGAAAGTGAATGTGTATACGGATTTAGAAAAATAAAACACCGCACAGATATATACATACACACACACACACACATATATATATACATATACATATCTATACACAGTCGCACACACAAACTCAGATATATATATATATATATATATATATAATTATATATAGAAGTAATGGTAAGTTAAATAATTAATGGTCCATTCCCCATTTACATTGTAACATTCAATGATAAAATATTGGAGTTGATAACAAGTAGCACTATTGGGCACCCACACTCGTAAATTCCAATACTTAATACCTGTTAGTCGTTATGATTGTCTTAGGGGTTGTTTGTTTCAGCCTCTTAATGGTTCTGATGTCTGAATGGTTCAGCACTTAATGGTTCAGCACTTAATGGTTCAGACTGTTTGTTTCAGCCTCTTAATGGTTCAGATGTCTGAATGGTTAAGAGATTTGCCTCTGAATGGTTAAGTATTATACAGAGTCTGAATGGTTAAGACCTCTTATCTGAATTGATCAGACATTTGCCTCTGAATAGTTAAACAATATACTAGCTCTTAATGGTTTAGACCTCTTACTGGTTCAGCACTTAATGGTTCAGATCTCTTACTGGTTCAGCACTTACCTATTCAGAAGTTGTCAAACAGTCCCTTAATGTTATATTGGATTATGTGGTATGAAACTTACAGTAACAATTAAGTATATAACATTAGTTAACTGTCAACACTTACCATTATAAATCACGGAACTGAACCTTGGCAAAGTTTTACAAATGAGTTGGGAGGGGGCGGGGGGTTGGTGTGCAACATCTGCACTCGCATATGACCCACAATTTTTATAGGGCCCAATATTTTTAGATGTTCAGCATTCTAGTGGGATGAAATGACTCATTACTCCTTTAATGAGCAAAAGGATGAAATTCGAAAACTTTTTTCATCGTGGGTTTTTTCTACTTATGAAAAATATCATTAGAAGGCAATGAGTTGAGATGGTTGATAAAGTGATGTCCTATTATAGGATTGACCTTGCAACTGCGATAGAAAAATTGATGAGTTAGAGAAAATGTATTTAATGAATCATATATGCTTATTCTCTGCATAACATACTTTTCACCTAATCATTGAGACAACTGGAAGAGGTACACAAGCCATAACTGGCTTTCCATATTACTAGGGCTTAATATCTTACACCTCATTATGTCGAGTAGTTCTTCATTTACTCCAAATCGCATTATACGGAGTATGAGTATTGTTTCTTCAAGAAAAGATTATATTAGTATCTAAAAAAATAAGAGTGTCCTTTCATTTTGTTTTCAAGGTTCATAGTTGGTTTCTTTCTCGGGGCCATCCCCTGGTATATTGGAGCTTTTATACTTTTGTGTGTTCGAGTGGACTACAGAGAGAAGCCCGGGCTTGTCGCTTGCACATTAGCTGTAAGTTTGTTCATTATCTTACTAACATACTCTGTGTTATCATTTTCCACAGCAAAAACACCACTCCAGAAAAGTGTCTAACGAAACTGAACTGAAAATACGTTGAAGAAACATGCTTTTAATTGCTAGCTTTTGCCTTGGTTTATCAATATTTTTTGCTAAATATTGTTCTGCGTAGGCAATCATTGCAATGATAGCAGTCACCCTTGGAGTAACAAAGGCTACTCATTCCTGGTGAAGAGGGAAATCTCAAACGGTGTGAAAATTTGTGGTTCTAAATCTATGTTTGTTTATCCTTCTATTAATATTAATATAAATTTGTACAGCAGCTGTTAGTTTGATCTGCATTGGCAATTACCTTTCTTTTTTGTCAATGGTCTTAACAATGAATTGCAGATTTGTGATTTGTCATCTCTCTCTCAATGTAGGAGGGTTTGATTATTTTGGAAAAGTATTGAAAGAATTACATTTGATTTTCTTTTTATTGTAGTTAAAAAAAAGTATACTCCCTCTTGGGCTTGGGTTTGAATTTTTGGGGTACGGGGCTCGCAAAATTGTGGGTCCGGCTTGGTTTTTATAGGTAAGCCCACTAGCCGGCCCGGCCTGATCTAGTAATATTAATAACAATACTAAAAATAATACGAGTAGTATTTTTTGTTTGTTTAAAAGAATTAAGGATGAATGTTGTCAAAAAAAAAAAGAATTAGGGATGAAAGAAAGCTAAGAAACGCATCTGTTTCTCGCCTCATCCAAGAATAAAAGAAATTAGGGATGAAAAATAGCTAAGAGTACCTATTCATAAGGCTAGAGAAAATATGGGAGAAAATATGTGTATATAAATGAGTAAAATGTTTAGAAATATATGACCTGACAAAACAATGAATTGACTTGCTTTTGACCTAAATTCAACTCGAAAATACTGAGTTTTCAATAAAGGTTTTTGTTGATTGAACCTGCCCACTAAAATGGGTCAAGCCTAACCGAATTCAAACTCGACTTGACTGACCCGCTAATATAAGGGTCTTTCAATATCGTATATTTTACTATGAAATACAGAGTATAATATTATAAAAGTATGGTTATAATTATATTTTTTTTCTTATTACTCGTTTTTAGTGTATAAATTTATACTTTCAAATAAAGGTTTAATGATGTTGCATAATTATCTTACCTTTTCAAAAAATTATGTATTTTTTTAATTCTTTATATTGATTTATATGCCTAAAAATTACTTCATAATTTAAAACAAACTAATATAATAGATTTAATACATCTTTTTCGATATTTTAATTTTATTTAATGCAAAATGCATGTGTTAATATGAATTTAAAAATTTAAAAAACCAAAATCATAACTCGTTGCATCGACTCGAACTCGATGACACTAGGTCATAAACATACATTTGTCAATCGAATCTGAATTGACCCAAACCCGAAGTCACTCGAACCGATTTGCCTGCTCTAAGAAATATGAATAATTCTTCAAGACCATGACCTCTTTATAATATTTTGAACACCTCCAACTTCTCATGGATTTTTAAAGTCTCAATTTAATACTACTAGACTTTTGTAGAATCTTAACGACCTTTTAAAAATTCTGATGGAATACACCTACGTTTTTATTGATTTAATAAGTCAACGTTAAATACAACTAAAAACTTTTAAATTCGATGGACTTTTATTAAAATGAATTTTTACAAAATTCAATCACTAGACATGCATGCATGCATGCATGCATACACACACACACAGATATATATATATATATATATATATATATATATATATATATATATATATATATATACCTTTTTCTTAATCATTTGATAAAATAAAAAAACTTATGTCACCACTTGTTTTGTAAATATCTTTTAATATAGTTTTAAATTTGAAACTAGTATTTTTTTTATTTTTTTACCAATTTGTAAATAAATTAACCAAAAAGAGATGTGATTTTGCTCATTGTTCAAAAAAACGATAGTTTAAAGACATATGGATTAAAGTTTACTAGATATTAATTCAAGAATTATTTATTATATTTATCTAGATTTTTTTCAAAATATAGGGTATTATGTTATTTAATTAATATAATCACTTGTCCTAGAATAATTTATACGTTTACTATTTGAGCTTCCCGATAACATTTGTTTACTCGTGTGTTTTTCATCGATCATTTGATAAAATAAAATATTCTTACCGCATCTTGATTGGTAATAAATTTTATTTTATTTTTTAATATCTGATTTGTATTTTTTTATTTCATACCAATTTATAGATAAAATTATATTATGAAAAAAAGTGAGATTTTGTAAAATCAATTACCAATGGAGTAAGATGTACTCGGAATTTTTACTTTATATTTTTTATTCGGTTAAATATGTTTTTAGTCCTTGTAAAATAAGGTTGTTTTTGGTCCTCGTGATTTTTTTGTTGAATCATCTTTCCAAAATTGTTTATTTCTAAATGGTACTTAAGCATAATTAACATTTTTAATTTATTTAGATAACACATTTATTTTATACTCAGCATTTTAGTTTTGCATTTTTCTTACCTCCAACACAATTTTAATACCCTAAATTATACTCTTACTTATAATATTTGTACATTTCTAATTCTCAAACTTCTTGAGAATATAATGTAATAAATTTTGGAAATTGGGGTTGTAATTTGATGAAAGAAACAATCTATGACATGCAAATTGTGTCAAGGATACTTATGAGGAAAAATTCTCTAGATAGGAGTAAAAAATTATAAAAATATCAAAATAAGAGTCATAAGTCTTTAAAACTAAAATATGAGTTTACACTATCATTGTTACATTGTCACACTATCACATTGTAATTGTCTCACTATCACCGTCACATTACCATCTATCGCCCCCAGCCACCAGAGTGCCGCCGTTTATCATCGACGGCTGAAAGATCACACTAACATATTACACTGTGATCACTTTTCTATCATACTGTCGATGCGCACTCTTACACTATACTGTCATTATGCTCCTATTTTGGTCTTAAAAGATTTAATACTTCTATTTTGGTATTTTCATACTTTTTGATCCTATCCAGGGAGATTTCTTTACTTATAAATACTCCTTCCGTCTTTGAAAACACTTTCGTCCTAATTTTTTGCACACACCATAAAATACTTTTAGGCACTGTTCCGTTCAACTTATTTTTTTTGATCTGATATGATTTTTTGTAGTTCTGATCTGGTCTGATCTGATTGGATCTGATCTGATTGAATCTGATCTGATCTGATTGAATCTGATCTGATCTGATTGAATCTCATCTGATCTGATCTGATTAATTATTATTTGATTTAAAATTCAAATCAATAATTTGATTTGAATTTATAATAACGTTTGAAAATTCTAATGATAATTCATATTATAATATAATCAATATATTTTATTTTATAATTATTTTTTAATAAAATAAAATTAGTTAATTTATATATTAGAATAATCATTCATATTTTAATGTAATGATATTATTTATTTTATGATTATTGTTTGTGAAATAAGAATATTGATTTAATATTTTAATAACTAGTTCATACATACATTAGAATAAATATTTAATTTATATAAAATCAATACAGAGAAGAGATAAAATTTTTATTAAAATATCTCATCCGTATAAAAGATCAAAACTTTAGAAACTCAAATTACAAGTAACAATAAAAATGTATTTTAAAACTAGAATTAGATTAACATTGTCAATGTATTTTAAAAATAATTTTTTTGGCGTCTAATAATTAAGGATTAATTTCTTAGTTTTCTATTTAACTTGTTTCTAAAGTTTATTCTTTTTCATTTTTAAGAATAATAATAATAATAATAATAATAATAATAATAATAACAACAACAACAACAACAACAACAACAACAACAATAATAATAATAATTCTTTATGGGATCTGATCTGGTTCTGTTCTGATTGGATCTGATGAGATCTGATTAGATCTGGTCTGATCTGATCTGATCTGATTTGTTCTGATCTGATTCGATCTGATCTAATCTGGCCTGATCTGATCTGATCTAATATGATTTTAATAAAAATAAGAAAAAATAAGAAAAAATAAGTTGAACGGAACAGGGCCTTAGTCTACCTATGTTGTCTAGAATATTTCCAAAACAACTTATACCCGCAATAAACTACTTAATGAGATGTATTTAGACATTTTAGGTGGAAATAAATTATTTAATGGGGTGCGCAAAAAATTAGGGCGAAAGTGTTTTGAAGAACGAAAGGAATACAAAATTAAAATGTTGCGTATGAAATAAATGTATTATCTCAACAAATTAAAAATTTTAACTAATTTAAAGACTATTGTTAAATTTATTTTTTTTATAAAGATGACTTAACACAAATTTTAAAATAAAAGTCTGATGACTATTTTAGAGGGGAAATTGAGCCAAAGAACCCCCAAAGAAAGAGCCATGGCGGAAGGCGGAGGAGAGGGGAAGAAGAGGGTGGTGGTGGAGTCGTTGGGATGGCTGACGGAATCCTCCATCATGCCGAGGAAACACCGCGCCATCCACGGCGTTGGTCCCTCGTCAATCATCGATCTCAAGGCTCAGCTCTACAAGTCCCAGGAGGAGTCCAAACGCCTCTCCAAGGAAACAATCTCCGCCACCGACCCGAAATATTCACACCTTCAAGTCCACCGCGCAAGGGATAAAATTTCCCCCCACGACCCCTTCTCCGGCAAGAATTCCGGCGTTGATGCTCGAGCTACCAAGTAAATTGTTCTTCCCTAATTTCCTTACCCCAATATTTTACTCTCTGTTGCGCTTAGGGTTTATCGGTTTTGATAGATTTGAATGAAAATCATCAAAGACCTTTAATTAATGCTAATTGATGTTAGAGTTTTTGAAGATATAGCTTAACTTAGCTAAACAACAGCAAAAGGTATTGGAATTTAGGTTATAAACTACGTAGTTGTTGGTAATGTGGCTATAATACATTGTAACTGTTTTTCTTTTGGGTCTTCTTCTGCAAAAGGTATTGGAAGGGCAGTCTGGAGTCTAATCATTGAATTAAGGGTCAACATTGATTCCAACATTTGAAAAAAAAAATCATTTTTTAGTTTGATTTTACATTAACGCATGTAAAGTGTCATTCATACGAATTGTGTGTTTTCTTTGATGTTAGGTTTGGTTTTTGTAATTTCCCACTCCAAAATATGTATGCATACTGCGAAATGTGAAATAGATTAATGAAATCTATCCATGGAAATTGTTGGGGAGTTGTTGTATGAATATCATTAGCAAACTAGAACCAATCTATATTTAACCATATTAGAAAAAAAGCTCTTCAAAGTGAAAAGTTGAATTCTTTCATTCCCTTTCTCAACCTTCCAACTTACCCTTTTTTACCACGTCATTGTTCTTCTCTTCGGTTTTAAATTATGAAAGTCAAGGCAAAAAGAAGAATTTTCTTTTAGTAGACGTGTCACCCATGCTCTCATCTCCCCGTCATTGGTGGATCCAAGGAGGGCAGCTGACCCCTTGATTTTTTTTACTAATGTCAAAACCACGCTGTTTTGGCAATAATTTCAGTTTTTTTAAAACCCAAAATAAGGATCCTTGAGGTGTTCCTTGACTTCAGGATATAGTTTGGGTTTTTTTTTTCATTTTAATTACAGAGTACATGAATGTTTCTTTTTTCTTGAACGAGTATTCAATTCAATGTTCATTGCATTTTTATTTTATTTTGTGAAATTACAATGACTTTTTAGCATTTCATATTACAATCTTGAAGGGAAAAAAATTGGGGCCCGAGTCCCTGTACTAATCCTGTCCCTCTCTCACAAATTCCTGGATACAACACTGCTCATAGTCATGTTTTTGTGTTATCAAGACTGAGTTCGAACTGATGTGTATTTTAAGGGACAAGCTTGAGCTGAAAGCTGCCAATGATGGGACAAATAGCTATGCTGCTTTGGAGAAAAAAGCTGAACTGTATGAAAAGCTAGTGAGGGGAGAGCTTTCTGATGAAGAAGATAAAGAGAAGTACTGTGTTGATTTCTTCCGCAAAGGCATAGAGCAAGAAGACTCGGCAAAACAGTCTCAGCTGCAGCATGATACTTCATGCTCAGAAACACCTGATGAAGATCATGGCCCTATGCTGACTGATAATATAAAACCTCTGGGATTTGGGCGTGTTTCAGGCACAATAGACAGAAGTGAGCATAAGCGGTTTGTTATGTAAGTATCTTATCTTTTGTACATTTTGCTACCCCTCCCCCTTCCCCCGAGTACTTTTCTAAGTGCTCTTTGGGTTTTTGCCTTTTTCATATGTGCTCGTTTGGCGAGAGTAAAATTGGTCTAGAAAGTAATTGAGTTTGCTGGAACTGAGACTGAAATGATTAGATTGGGTATTTTATTTTTTTCTGTATAATTTCAATCCCATTAGAGTCCGGTGGTCAAGATGTATGCAGTCTTGGAGGGTCAAGATGTACGCAGTCTTACCCTTGTAAAAACAGAGAGGACATTTTTGTTAGACCCCAAGCATTGTTGCATTTACTACCCTAAACTTCATAGATAGTAAGAAGCAAGAGGAGTTTAACGTGACATGTATTTATTTCATTATGTGCCCGAAACTAAAACATTGTTAATGAAGACTCTTTTAGAGTTTTAGCTCCATTTGCATTTTAGAATAATGCATTTTTGATAAATTAAAGGAACTAAGGCCCCGTTTGGTACACGGAATTCAAACTATGGAATTGGAATTGAGGACTTCAATTCCAATTCTGGTGTTTGGTAGAACAAAAAATTATGTGGATTTGAAATTGACAGTGCAAAAAATGAATTGGAATTGGTGACAATTCTATGGAATTGAATCCCCTGGAATTTCAATTCCAATTCAATTTCAATTCCATCAATTCCGTATACCAAACGGACCCTAAATAAAAAATGGAAACATATGCACTACTTTTTCAATTAACCACCAATTTTATCAATCCAGCCAGTTAGTCAATTAAGTAAAGCATTAGTAGAAATCCTAGCTGATAAGCAGGAAAATGACCCTGCGAAACGTACACACAATGCCTTAATTGCATGAAAACTATAATTTCTGCATATCCCCCCCCACCCACCCACACACAACACGCACAAATGTTGGAATCTTAAAATGACTACTTGTGTGTTCCTTGGTTTTTTTAATGACAGAGTATATGATTTTGATGGTTTTCAGGGAAGTGCATGAAGAAGCGAGTGAGGCTAGGCAAAAAGCATCTGAACTGAAAATGCGCAGGGAAGAACAAGTTGCTGCGCGTAGAGAGAAACTGAAGCAGGCCTATCTCAAGAAGCAGCGCGAGAAATTGATCGCTCAAGCCAAAGCAGCGCAATTGCAATGATAATAAAAAGTAAAGACGGTTGCAAATATGATGAAGTTTAAGATGGTTCCCGTCTTGAAGATCAAAAGGTTAGAAGCCATGGCTTACGGCAGGCAGATATGGTCTTCTTTCATTCATGTGTTGTTGGCCTTGCTGAGCTTATTCCATTTCACTTTCAATCACATCCGAGATGGTCACACCATGTATAGAGTGATGAACCCAAAGTTTGAGCTTCAATTTTTTTTCCTTTACACTGAATTGGAGGATCTGATCCAGTGTTTTTGTGCAAAACATAGAACTTTGGGTGCTATTTGGTAAAATGTAATGAAATGAATTGTACGGAGTAATTGAAGCTGTGTTTAAATTGACATAAGTAATGTTGTAGGGAGTTTTGGGCTGGAATTTCAATGATATGTGATATATAAATGTCAGGACTTTGAAAGATGAAATTATTTTGCACAAGTTGACCAAAGATGTGACGCACAAAGAATTATTGCTTCTACTGGAGTTCGAATCTGGATGAACTTCCCAATGAATTCGGGGGAGTGGGTTCGTGAACTATCCTAAGCAGATCTGGAGTCTTTGTTTTCTGATGACTTGAGGAGCATTACCATTTACCACGTGTCAAGCGACTTCTAATTTATTGGACAACTAGTTTGGGTCCCACCCCCGACCCCTCTTGATCCGAAAAAAAGTCATAAACAATAAATTTATTGATGCATTGGAGAATCTTCATCCAAACAAACTTTTACAATTCATCCAAATTAATAATGATCAATCAAAACAATGGATAGGGCGCTGGGAATAGTGCTCGGAAGAGTCTCTTTTTAAGAATTTAGTTCTTATAACATTTGAGCCTCACATTACCAACAACGACTCCGTGGCCCAATGGATAAGGCGCTGGTCTACGAAACCAGAGATTCTGGGTTCGATCCCCAGCGGAGTCGATTCTTTAAATTTTTAGTTTAATTTTAGTTTAATAATCCCCTAAAATTTTGTCAGTTTTGAGTGAGAAAAAAGCCAACGCAACATTATCCTTTTTTATTTGTCACGCAATTTTTATATCATTTCATATACTTATATTTGTTGGTCCAAATCATTTTAATTTCACATTTTTTACATGCTCCGTATATAACATCAATAACAAACTTATTATTTTTGAACCTCCCCAAAAAACAAAATAGTATTAAATTATTATTTAATGAGAATGTGAATTCATCAATATTCCATAATAAATTGGTGAATTTTGTAATATTTTCTTTGGGACTTTAATATATTATAAAGATATTTAGAAGGTTTGAAGATTTGAAGAATTGAACAAGTCTATCTTTAGACTAAGTTTAGACTAAAGATATTTCCAGTAGGTTAGCTAAATCCACTCCATTTATAAGAATTGAACAAGTCTATCTTTAGACTAAGTTCCCATGTTCTCTTTTTTATTTTATACTTTAAGAGGTAAATTTGTATATTTGTAATAAATGAATTTTATTTATGTAAAATAGGGGCAAATTCGATAAGACTGGGATGCTAGGGGTACACCTTGGTGTACCCCAAATGTACACTTTTGGGGTATACTTTTATTTATTTCTTTCTTTTTTGTTTTACATGTCAAAATATGTGTAATGGATGGACAGTTTACATTTGGGGTATACTTTTGATGAACCCTTAGCATTTTTGAATTTACTAACATCATATTTTTAAACCAAAAAGCTAAGAAGACATCAAAATAATGATATCACTATAATCTCATGTATCACACGAACACAGACAATAATGATTTGTATGCACATAGATCAATCAATATTGTCTAATGCTCTATTTGCACATAAACCATTATTTGTCTGATATATGAGGTCAAAGTGACCACCGCCCACTAACACAACCCCTTTTAAACTTTAAACACTTCAAATATGGCGTAAATGCCTTTTGAACAAAAAAATCAAGAAACAGGGCATTGACCAAAAATGCACTTTCAAATAGAGTGAATAGGATTGGCTTTTGAGAGCACTCATTATTTTGGAAAAGTTAGCTATACTTTAAATTTATCAGCAAGTTACTCCCTCCGTCCCTGAAAAACGACACAGTTTGACTTTTTTAGTTAAATTATGGCATTTTTTAACCATAAATTAAATATAATTTAAAATAACTAAATATTATAAAAATATGATATTTCAAAGCTATATTTAAAAAAAACTAATCTTACTAAATTTACATTATAAATATACTTTTTCCATAATTGACGGTCAAAGAATCATAATTTTACCAAAAAAGTCAAACTGTGACAATAACAACTGAGGGAGTATATTATTGTTCCCGAAGATGGGTATAGCCCGTTGGAAGAAAGAGCAAAAACGAGGAAGGAAGAGAAGCCCCGATCGACAAATCCAAACACTTGTGCAGCGGAACTTGGGTGCAGCATAGCTGAGTAGAGGCGGTGGCGGAGGGTTGGGTGGTGGTGGTTGGCCAGCAGCGGCAGTGCGACCGTGAAGAAGAAGATATAAGCCTTTTGCAGAATAAACATGCAGTTGCTTTAAAACAAACAAGTTATTGCTTCAAAACGAACATAAAATTTCTTCAAAATGAACATTCATTCTAAAATGGTGATTACACAATACACATATTAACATTACAGAACTCATCAAAAACCCATGAAATTTTCATAATAATAAAAAACTGCAAAACTGAAAGATGTAGAAGTAAACAAGCAATAGTTGTATCATCACCATTTTAGCACTCTGCACAACTTCAACATTTCGGAAGGTATAACAAGCAAACATTAAACGTTCTTGAGAGCTACTAAAACCCAAATTATTATAATTATTACTACACTTATAAGAACATAATAGGTATATAGTCACCGAGCCCATGCACCGAATTGCAGGGGAAAAAAAGAAGATATGCCCTCTATAATACGCCTCCCCTCCATACCCTTCCGTTTGGTCCGCCATGCTAGAAACCGTTGAATCAAGGCTTGAACGCAGAGAAGACTACAACAGAGTTGTGTCCACCAAAACCAAATGAATTTGAAATGGCTGCAAATGATAGATAGATTCATGTCCATTACTTGATTTGAGGCTAAAAAGATACATTGAGTTCACTAGTAATTTCGGGCGATTTCCCTAAGAATGCCCCTCAAACTGAACTTGGAAGAAGGCCAACGAAGAAAGGACAGGTCAGCTTAAGAATCTTACCGACATTAATTTCGTGCTGCTGTTTCTTGTTTGGAACGGTGTCAAATTCCACCGAGGGCTCAGGATTCTACAACATTTGTTGGAAATAGCATTAGGATATTGGCTCATTTTTTAGAGAAATGAAATAAAGAGAAATGAACTTCTACCCTCATTTTTTAGATGTTATTTCAATTAATTTATACTCCTATAAAAATAAGTTTTTCCACAATGACAATATTAACTTGGCTCTTTCAGCAATTTAAACAAAATTTGCTCCTCGCAAATGAGCTAATAAATATCAGTCAAAAAGCACAGCATAATATTTAGGATACACGTACGAATTGATTAATTGTAGGATGTAGCCACCCGGTTGTAATTGCCTTCACTGTTGCAATAGCTTCCAAGCCACCAGCAGCACCGAGGCAATGTCCTATCATGGACTAGAAATACACACAAGAAAAATGATATAAAATGGGAAAATGTATATTTTGTATTAAAATAGCATGAAAAACGACATGCTACACTATAACATTTATATGGATTTTTCTTTTCTAAATGATATGCATCAATACAATATTGCAAATATAACAACTTACCTTAGTAGCGTTCATTTTTACACCCGAAGTGTTCTTGAATACCTTCTTAATGGCATTGACTTCCGCTAAATCTCCAACAATAGTAGATGTTGCATGAGCGTTTATGTAGTTCACCTAAAAGGATAGCATAAGTTGTAATCATTTAGTAATTTATTTCTTTTTTTATCTTCATTTTCCAAACATTGATATTATGTGGCAATAAAAGATACTGCATATGGGTACCTCTTCAGGTGATACACCAGCGTCATCAAGAGCATTAGTGATACATGAAGAAACACCAAGACCGTCAGCCCTAGGGTCGGTCATGTGATGAGCATCACAAGTCACTGCCCCGCCCAGGTATTCTGCAATAATCGGGGCACCTCGTTTCATTGCATGCTCCAAGCTCTCCATCACCTGCTCAATGTGCAAAACCATGTCAATTCACCTCTAGTTGCAATCAAATCAAATATGTTTACATACATAAAAATGAAAAAGTTTGTATATGTAATGTATTACTTCAAGATCCAAACACACCATGGGCATGGGAAACATCAACCAATGAATTATATGTGAATACATTTTGCTTCTGGCCAAAAATAAATACTTCATACTCTCTCCATCCCATAAGTAATGTCATATTGTCATAAAACATAATACAAGGCAAAACCCTACACTTTTTGAAAACACTTTTAAATAAAAACTTGTATTGAAATAGAAAATGAAATTTACATATTTAACAGCTACATCAACATGACTATTTTATTTTATCAAACGACCAATGAAAGCACATACTAAACAAAAGTTATTGAGAGTTCCAAATAGTAATTTGGGACATTACTTATGGAACGGAGGGAGTATGGCTCTTGAGGCTAAAGGCAATGTTTTTGTTTAGAATAGAAATAAACATTGTGTGTCCTGACTGCATCCAACTTATGCAGTAGCATATAAATACTTGTACTACATAACAATTGACAATTTAAAGAATAAAATAAGGTTCCCAATAAAGGTCAGCGTATGATACCGCCAGAGAAAATTGGTATGGTTAATAAACTTTTATTTTTGGCAAATCAATACCAATTTAATTTTCAGTAGATAAAAACATTGATCAAAGTCCCACACTCCCACATCTTTGATCACATAAATCAAATGTGTCCTAGTAAAACAGAAAGGATGGAATATCATGTCAGAAAAAGTATTAGGAAATTTTTCCATACATACCAATACTCCAGCTCCTTCTCCCATAACAAAACCATCACGGTCCTTATCCCATGGTCTAGAAGCAGTTTTTGGATCATCATTTCTTTGAGACAAAGCTCGGCAGGCCACAAAACCTCCTAACCCAATAGGTATCATGGCAGCTTCAGTTCCACCTGCTAACATCAAATCAGCCTCACCTCGACGGATATGATTGGCAGCTGCATAAAAGCAGTAATTTGAAGTAGCACAAGCAGTTGAGATTGAGTAATTTGGCCCCATAAACCCAATGTCGATGGCAAGCAAAGCAGAACCCATGTTGGTTATGGCATAAGGAATGAAAAATGGAGATATTTTCCTGTGACCCCTTTCAATTAAGGCTTGTACACCATCAGAGAAAGCAGTAAGACCACCCATTCCAGTTCCAACAAGAACACCAGATCGCTCCTTATCAATCTACAGTTTACACATAAGCTTGAGATTTAAAATAACAATGTC